GGGCGTCACAGGTTCAAAACGAGATCTGGAAGTGGATCGAGCAGAGCATGCCGGCCAGCACCCACTGCCCCCACAATGAGTGGAGGGAGCCTGTGGACGCTGAAGCAGACGGGGCAGGAAGCACAGGACGGGGAGCAGAAAGCTGAGTGGCCGACGGGGCAGTGGAAGGAGACAAGAGTGGCATTTGGGGAGGGTGTGGGTCAGCCAGGCTGCACCCCCCTTTTCTCTAAGGCACCAGACAGAAGTGATCAACCCACACACCCACCACCACTCAGCAACCCAGGACCAAGCTGGTGACCCCCAGCAAGTCTTCAGGCTGGCTCGCAGCCCCCACACAGCACGCATGCCCCCCTCTCCCCCCCGGAAGCTGCAGTTTGCCCCCTCTCAGCCAAGATATGGGAGAAGCAGGCTCTACGGGGAGGGGGCTGGGAGGCCGCAGAGGGGCTGGGGAGCATCCTGGCAAGGGGGGAGCATCCTGGGGGCTCCGCGCTGCAGCGGTTCCCATGGGGGTGGGAAGGGTTAACTCTGCAAAGGGCGGGGCCGCACGAGTGCGCCGCAGCAAAAGGGGCCATTCGAGGAGGGGAGGGCGGGGCCGGCGGCGCTACCTGTGAGGCTCATGTAGAGCGGCTGGCGGGAGCGGAAGTGGCGCAGGGCGGCCCCCGAGCAGTTGCGCTGCTCGCACTGAGTCAGGCACTGCCGGTACGACGGCTGGCCGACCATGGGACGTCCGCTTCCGGCTGCGCCGGAAGGGGCTGCCGCCTTCTGTGGCCCTCTGGAAACGCGAGCCGCGCCCCAGGGTTCCTGCCCGCGCGCGGGGAGGAGAGGATCATGGGAAATAGTCTCGGCCAGCACATTCTGCAGCCCGGGGGATGCCGAAAATGCCCCGCAATGCACGCCTTGGACGGCTCGCCTTGGGCCTGCTGCCTCGGCACACACGGGTAGGGTGGCCATCGTAGCGGAGAGTCCGGTTGTCCTCTATTGATCCAAACCTGGACGCATTATGTCTTCTGTTTTTCTCTCGAACAAAAAGACACAGGACATAAAGGCGTTGGGTTTCGTATCAATAGAGGACAGAGTAGCAGAAAACCAGAATGTCCTCTGTGATGGCCACCTGACACACGTGTCACACCGACTTTATGGAAATGGGAGACTCCTCCCTAACTTGCTTCTGCGGCCATACAGCTGAGGGCAAGCGACACTCGGGGGCATCTGAACCCCAAGCCTCTGGGCTTGGGCCTGCACGTAGGATGCCCGCCAAATGATTTGGAAGCATCTGAAGCCCCAGGCTGGGGTGGAGAATATTTGCCAGTAGCAGGGCAACCTAGATTTTTGAATGACTCACAGAGTTGGAATTGATTTGGCTGATTTGACTTGGAACACAAACATTTTTCCATAAAACCCAACCCCCATGTGTACACCCACATGCATGCACACACACAACCTGGAAACCTCACACACCATGTGCACACCCACATGCACCTCTTACACCTGCAGCTCCAGAAATGTGACATATCTCATCCAACGTACTAAACGCCCCGATGGAAAATATGTAGGAGAAACCAAACAACTGCGCACCAGTGTGAACGCATACTGAAAATCCATCAGAGACAAAAATACCCAATTGCCTTTAGGTGCACACTTCTCTCAAGGTAGCCACTTTCTCCCCAGTCTCAGTTCTAATCCTCAAAGGGAATTTACATAACACCTTTTGTAGATGAGCCTATGAACTTCATTTCATAAATCTGGATACAAAAAAATCATGGTCTCAATATAGACATTGGATTTATGGCACATTATAACCTGCCTGACAGCTGATTCACCAGGAACCTGCCTGAAGCTGGCCACTTGCACTCCTTCACACATTTCCCCAACTTTTCTCCCCTCCCCTCCTATCTCTACCCATTGTCTTCCAAACTTCCACTCATTTACATTTCTCTTTTCTACCTTGGAGAATTCAGAACAGCAACAGCCTCCCAATGCCTGAAGAGGGTGTTTGTGCCCAAAAAACTTGCAAAGAACTTTTTTCCAACTATTTAGTTGGTCTAAAAAAAGATATCACATCTCCCCATAGTCCCTTGCCTGCCACACACACGTGCACATGTGCACACCCACACGTGCGCACGTGCGCACACACATACACACACAAGGCCCCTTGATTTCTGTGGCAGCCCCTGGTTGGCTATCCCTAAGCCACAGCCTAGGGCAGCAATTCTCATCCAGGGGCCCATGGCACACTGGGGGGTCTTGAGATCCTTTTCAGGTGTTGTAGGATGCCACATAGTGTTAGCACCGTGAGTTGTGCAAACATGATTCAGAAAATACATTATTTTAGGCAGGAATCCACCGTATCAAAGCCACCCTGCCCTTCTGTGGGCCTTCTGAGCTCTTTGCAACAGAGGAATTTCTCTTGTACTTTTTTGTAGTCAAAAAACAAGTGAAAACTCAGAGCTGGCATTTCATGGTGTGCCAGAGACACAGCTCTGTCCTGTGGGGGCTTGTACTGGAAATTAAGGTTACCATATTTCCATGATCAAAAAAGAGGACACCTGTGGGGCAGGGACTGAGGAGGAATGTGATGGGGAGCAGGGCATGTGATGGGGAGCAGGGCATGTGCCCTGCCTATGCTCCTCACTCCTAAGCCCCTGCCCCCCAGCCCCGCCTGTACCCCTCACTCCCAACCCGCAGCCTTGCCCGCCCAGCCCTGTCGGTGCCCTGCGCTCCTGACCCCCAGCCGCCTGCTCCCCACCAGCCCTGCTGGTGCCCTGCACTTCCGACCCGCAATCCCCTGCTACACCCAGCACTGCTCCCCACTCAGTTTCCACGTGTGCTTGCACATGCTATTACCTAGAAACAGCTTGCTGGGGCCCGGGTGCAGAGCACATGACCCCCAACAGCCAGTCACCTTGCCCACTGCTCCCAGCCCCAAGCATCCAAGCTGCTCATGCCCAGGAAAAGCCAGAGGAACAGCAAAAACCCAGACATTTACTCTCATTTAAAAAAAAACCGCCTGGATGGACGGCAAGGGGCCAAAAAAGAGGACATGTCTGGGAAAACCCAAATGTATGGTAACCCTAGTTGGGGCAGGAGATGACCCTGGAAGACTTGTGTGCATAGAGACCTCAAGATGTTTGTCTTTCACCAGAGCTCCTGCTGCCCTCCCACAGCTGGCTTACTGCATGCCTAGAGTCAATTAGCCTGGGCAGGCAGTGGCAGTACCAGGAATAGAACTCAGGAGTCCTGACCTCTGATCAAGCCCCTAGACCAATGATTCTCAGGCAAGGTGCTGTGGCATCCTGCGGTGCCATAAGATCCTTTTAAGGGTACCACACAATATTAGCACTGTTAGTTAGGCATATACTGATAAGATAAACCCAGAGACATCCAATAGGAATCCACAGTGACAAAAACACTGCCCTGCTGTGAGCTTTCTGAGTTCTTTGCAACAGAGAAATTGCTTTTGTATTTTTCTGTAGTCAAGAAACAAGTGAAAGCTCAGTGCTGGCATTTTTGAGGGGTGCCACAAGTCTAAAAAGGTTGTAAACCACTGGTCTAGGATGCTTTCCCTGGACCCTGTTTCTGCTGCCACCAACATCAGCCTGGGAGTGTTGGGACCCAGAGGCCTTCAGGCCTGGGTTCAGCCTTTGTGCTCAGCTCAAGCTGCATGCTTAGCTTGAATTGTGGTCAAGACCTGCACCCAGTGAAAGGAACAGATGGAAAAATACTGTCCCAACTTAAAATGAATCAGGAAGTTGGCTAACTAAATTGAATAAATTAGAGGTGCACTGATACATCGGTCCAATATTGGATCGGTACCGATATAAGGAAAATTTTGGTTATTGGCCCAATGGGGCTGATAATTTGGCCAATAAATGCCTGTGCTGTGCACAGCCACAGTGCAGCATGGAGCGGATCTGACAGCATGGAGAGCTGCCTTCACCTGGTAAGTCAGAAGGGGAGGTGGGGAGGGAAGGGGCATTGGGGGGCAGGTCAACACCTCCACAGTGAGGGAGGTAGGGGGCAGGGGCAGGTACTGCCCAGGAAGGGCGGCAGGAGGGTGGGCTGGAGCCAGAGCTATGCGGGGCTCTCCTCGGTGGAGGCTGGGCTCAGAGCGAGCACCAGTGGCTCTGAGAGGGGCTGCAGCCACCCCAAATTTCACCGCAGCTCTGCTCCCAGCCCTGCAGCACCAGGCACAGCCCAGCTCCTTGTCCCACCTACACCCATGCACTGGGAAGAGCCGAGACTGCTCCAGGTGGCTGGCAGCAGCGGCGGTGCTGGGAGTGGAGCTGCGGCAAAATTTGGGGTGGCTGCAGCCCCCTCCCAGCACCCGCTCCGAGCCCACCCCCACTGAGAAGAGCCCCTCGGAGCAGGCCTTGGTGGTGCTGGGAGGATGTTGCATCCACCCCAATTTTGCTGAAGCTCTGCTCCCAGTGCTGCTGCCAGCCACCCAGTGCAGCCCTGGGTTGTCCCAGCATGTGGGTGGAGGTGGGACATGAAGCTGGGCTGCGCTTGGCACCACGGGGCTGAGAGCGGAGCTGTGGCAAAATTTGGGGTGCTTGCAACCCCTCCCAGCACCGCTGGTGTCTACTCCAAGCCCAGCCCCCGCTGAGAAGAGCCCTGCACAGCGCTGGCTCCAGCCCAGCCCCCTGCCCTGCCCTGCCCTGGGGGCACCCCCCCCACACACACACCCCCCCATGGGGTGCAAGCAGCAGCGAGAGCTGCCAACCCCACCTGCTGGGCCTCTGGCCTGTGCCTTCTCCCCACTCCCCTTCCACCACAACAGACTTGCCACCTGGAGGCAGCTGTACAGGATATCGGATCGGTATCGGCCGATATACCTCCTTAAATATTGGTTATTGGTATTGGCCCCCAAAATCCCTATCGGTGCACCCCTAGAATAAACAGAACTTGGGCAAAAGAGGGACAGTCAAAGCAAAACTTACCCCCATCTAAGAATGAAAAGATTACCTCAGAATACAGAATTGCAGTCAAAGGTAACCATATTTGACAAACAGAAGCAAGGTTATTGTGGCAGGGCACTGTGGGTGCCTGCCACTTCAAGAGAGGAGCCAAGCAGCCAGCAGGTCCTTGATTGCAGTGGCCATGTTAGACCTCTGGCTGGCAGCCCAGGCAGTAACATTGCCTAGCTACAAGGCTCTATGCAACATCCTGGTAATAAGGGCATGAGCTGTAGGGGATGGCTAGGAGGCTCCTGGTCCTGACCTAAAACTGCACCCTGCTGGGAGTGGGTGGCCTGGTGGGACTCCAGGAAATACCAGGCCAGTTTCCACCCTAGTGAAAGGCAGGTTGGGGTGCCCTAACCCCAGCCCCCACCTTTGGGTGGGTTATGCATCATTGGAGGTAGTTGGGCCCAGGCATGGATATGGCCACCTGAGCCCACTGGGGCAGGAAGCCCTGTGACCCCAGTGAGGGGGGCAGAGATGAGGAGCCCCGGTATGTTTGGATGTATAACATTGCCCCCAGAAGGAGCCAGGGAAAGCTTAAACCTGGTTGGGTAATTGGCTGGCTAATACCCCAGTGAGGGTTGCGGGAGAAGCCCAAAAGACAGTACGTCTGACACCCAAGGTATGAGCTAGCTAAAGACTATGGCCTAAGGGGCCTGCTCCAAGGTGGAACAAGGCAGTATAAGTTGTCAGCGCATGAAAGAAACCCTGTGAGAGGGGGTGGAGTGTGTGAGGCCCTGGTGAGAGGAGGGCAGTATG